TCCTATAGTGAAAAAAGTTTGGGAGATGCTGGATCAAATAGCTCTCATAACCTTACAACTTCTCACTGCCTTTAACATGGCAATGTATTTTGGACTCTAAAAGTGAGATATGTCATACAGGTTTTCCTCAACAAGTATTTTCCTCAACAAGTATTTAGTACAGTCCATTGTTTCAGGTACAGTGCTGGGTCTTGGGAATACAATACTGGGCCAAACAGACCTGGTCTCTGTTCTTATGGAGTTCATGCTCAAGTGTGAGAAACAAATTCCACACAGATATTTATTATAAACCACAGTAAATGTTACGAAAAAAAAAAAAAGACAGCATTTTCTAAGTAAATGCTAAAGCAGGTAGACCTCTTCTTTCACCCAATTTAAAAGATTGAAAGCTATGTATTTCTCTTAAAGCTTTTCATGAACAGGGTTCTAACAGTCTACCTTGCTCACAGGTCTAACATTTCCCTTGCTAAAAACGTATTACATTTTCAGAAGTAAAGACTGGAGGCAAGAGCAAGACACAAACCACTCATCTATGAAAAGGTCAAAATTAATAAATACGTCCAGATGCTTGATGAGAATAGCTCCAGCTTTAGGGGCTGCTTAAATTAGAGTGATGTAGAAACAAAAGCTATGTACTGTGGTCTACTCTGCAACTAAAATGAATGTGGACTGATGTAAGGATCTGATCCACAGTGGTTCCTGCTGAAAGTAGCTGGTTTGAGTCAGCAAGTCTTCACAGTAATGCAAACCCATACCAACTGTACTTTGTATGTTGATTTCTGAACGACTAGGTTCTTCCTATTTTTATAGTGGGTATTTTTAGCAGAAAAATACAACACTGATTTTAAAGTGTCATTAAATAATCCTGAGTTAATTTTTTCTTCTTTTATATACATTTGCAAAGCACCAACTATGTGCTAGACACTCTGCTAAGAACCAGGGAAAACAAAGAGGAAACAGCCTGGTTGTGTTTTATTTATCCTTGTGAAGTGGGGGTGGGGATGCTACAGAGGGAAAGCCAAATTCATCACTTTCAGAAGAACCAATGGTTATATCAAAGCATACCGACATTCCTAAATCTTCAGATTTGTCTTTATCTCACTGTGGATCATTCTAACACACTCTCAGTTAACAAGAATAGTTAAGTATTTAAAAACCTAAACACTTAATGAGCGCATTTAAAGGATCTAAAAATTGAGTCCTTTTACACTCTATGATTACTATGCTTATGAGATTCCACAGTAGTATTACTTTTGCTAATAAGTATAAAGAATCAAACTTTGTGGGGAGCCTGGGTGGCGCAGTCAGTTAAGCATCTGTCTCCTGGTTTCAGCTCAGTTAATGATCTCAGGGTCATGAGATGGAGCCCTGCATTGGGATCAGCGCTCAACAGGGAGTCTGCTTAAGTTTCTTTCTCCCTCTACCCTTCTCTTCTGCTGCACGCACACACTGTCTTTAATAAATAAATCTTAAAAAAAAAAAAGAATCAAAACTTGTAATTCGCACTTGAGAGAATTTAAAGTATTCTTTTTTCAAATAAAGCTATATGGTAAATGAATTTTTATAATTACAAAGTGTCATTCAATCTCAAATTATCTAAAAAGAGGCATGCTTCTCTCATTTTCAAGACTCCCATGGGTAATTTTTAATACTCTCAGACCTGGAAGGGGATAAATTTAGAAAACACTTAGGAGGATGACAGAACTCAAGAGAGACAGATAAGTATTTTGACTTGATTCCATCCCACTGACTATGAATGGGATTGACTACAAATACGATCACAGTTGATTTTTTCCTATCATACCCCAAGATTCTACACCTCTATTTCAACAATGTTAGCACATCTAACAGGAAACCCAACTTACCTCAGACCTAAATATCAATAGTATGATAAATAAAAAGCGAGACTGTCATTCTTTGGCATGACCCACATAAACCAAGTTTCTGAAAATTGAAAAAGTTATCTCATCCAGCCTATAAAAAATAAACACACCCTAGAAAGATTGCCAATAAAAGTTACTATCACTCAATATCAAATCTTGTATATTGTTTTCTTAGCAAATGAGCAATTCCTATCTAGTTTGCAGCAAACGGGGGATAAATACAGCAGGACTAATGCATTCGTTGGTTCACCTTTGGCTGACTGGAATATGGTCTATACATTACCACACTATAGACTGGGAGGTCAACTCTGTTTAATTACAAGCAGGCTACTTTGGGTCTCTAGATACGTAAGGTGCTTGTCAATTCAACTCTATCCATGGTCAGAACTTAGGTCATCCAAATGAAAGACAACACTATGAAGGACAAGCAATGATTTACTTTATTTAGGCTGAATTTATACCTTCCTAGTTAACAATGTCAATAATTTTAAAACATATTTTCATTTTCTTGGGGGGGGTCACTACCAAGAGTGAGTTATAAACAAGCATATAGAGATCTGTGGCCCTCTCCAGCCTTACACCTCGTAACTTTCACTTCTTTGAGAAACTTCTAGACAAGCATGAGACTAAGGAAAGTTAAATCAGTTCGCCAATAGGTAACTTGCTTTATATAAATTCAATTTCCAACTTCTGGAAATAATGACAGACACAAAATTTTATTTAATTTTTTAATAAACCATAAAATTTAAATATTCAAATAAAAAGAAACAAAAATAGATATTTAAGCCAGCACTAATTTCTGTGTTTATTCTTCCTCTGGGGATTGGGGCTTGACTTACCTGGGACAAGAGCAGAGTATTACAGTTATGATGCTGGTGCAATAATGAACAAGTAGCAACGGGTAATGGCTTGATAAAATTTACTTTCAAATCTGGAAGTAAAGATCAGCAGCTCACTTGAGTCCACTGCAGAAACCTCAAACTAGTGTTGTCTGTGGAAAACTACTATGGCTTACCGTTCTTACCACACTTTCTTCTTCACAGCTTAGCACTCCCTGGCATTTTGATCCTTTTGTTCACTGAAGCTCACTTCAGTCTGTCAAAACATCAAGGGGGAAAACCCCCAAACTGAATAGACGAATAAACACTTTTAATGTGAATAATCATATTCAGATCAACCTCTTTTGAAAAAATACAAGTCAGTGGGTTTTTTGTCCTTAAGTAGCTCAAATATTGTTATTTTTTTCTGCCTTTACTAAAATGGCACTTTTCATTTTATTGACATTTGCCAATTATGTTGAATTTTCTCACGTTGGTACCCTGTTTCTCTTGATTGAGGCTTATCCATTCCACTCCAGAATATCTGATCTTTGACTAACTTTATTCCATTCTGTGAATAAATATACTATCATTAATCAGTGGAAATCACAAAAGGAAAAAGGAAGCAGTGAGCACTAGCAGGATCTCACTTCGACATCTGTACAATTTTTATAAGAAAAACATTCATTTTTATTATGGAATCTAAAACCATTATTGTATGATACTATGTCTTTTAGCATATTCAAATGGGTAGACATTCCATGTGGACAGCAAGCTAGCTCACAAGAAACAGTGTGATGCACAAGTATGTTCAGCTGGTAGAACCCCAGCAGCATGGTAATAAAGTGCAGCAAAAATATCCTTATACTGAATAAGAACTTCAGGAACCTCTGAATATTTTTGGTAAAGTTGAGGAAAAGCTACTACAGTCAGGAGATTGGTAATCTTTAGACTTCAAAGACTGGCTGCCAGGGGACACAGTGAAATATTAGACCTGAAGCCAATGAAAACCACTAGCTTGGAAAGGACTGGGTTTTCCCAAAAAACCAAAATTATCTTATACAGATGCTTAGCATACTATGATTTGACAGGTTTACAGTGATAAAACAGCAAAGATAAATGATAACATTTATACCTTTAGCATGTAAAGAACACAGACTTAAAAAGTGGCAGCAAGAAATTCTACGACAGCTCCTGAGACAAGTTATCCTACGTCCTCCATCTACTCCATGTCAATGACGACCCGCCTGAATGGTAACAGAGTAAAAACAGTGATCTGCTGTATGTGAGTCAGAAAGTACTGGAAAAGTGACAAAATCGTATGTTATTAAATGACAAAACATATTTAGAGGCTTTATTTAAAAATCTCTCACTGTTCATTATCAAAGTTACAAGATTGTTTGCATACCAATAGACAGACTGTAAACATAGGAAATTTTCGTTAAGGAAAGATGGGTTTACTGTAATTGGATCTTTTACAAAAAATTACTGCAAGTTATTGATAACAGAATTTCTCTTTTACTTTCTTAAGTCTAATTCTCTAGAAAATTAAACCAATGTTTCCACTCCCTTGAGCTCAAGTTCAATCATGGTCACCTTAGGAAATACCCCTGTTTATTTGTTAATCAGAAATACAAATCAAGTGGCACATATTTCCATTTTCTTCTTAGGCCAAAGGTTTCGGCTTCATTATATTTTACAAGAAAACAGAAGACTTGCAGTGGTCCTGTGAAGTCTTTCATGTCGCAGCTGAGGTTTAATGACGGCAGTGGAGGAAAGCAGTGGTGATGCAAAGTAAGACCAGCCCAAGTGCCCTTATCTGACATGGAATCATCTTCCTGTTTGGCTTGTAGTAGTGTTTCTGGTCAGGTTGCCTCCACCAAACCTGATTGAAACAGAAGGGTGACATGCTCTGGTAAATCCTGTTTAAGGGTGATTCCGTTCAGGCACAGAGTTGATCCTTCAGTCTGTTGGTTGTGGGATGATACTAATATGAAGAAAATTATCTGGGTAGCTCAGATGTTCACTCAGCCACTGCAGAGGTGTTTCCAACATTGGCTCAATTCCATGAATCATCACTTGATTCTTTTTTTCTCCATCTATTCCAAGAAAGAAATCCAACAGTAATGAGAAAGGGTCAAGACAGAAGAAAAAATAATCTGTTGCCTTTTGAGAATCCTCGGTGAGGTAAATGGGTTTAACAGCTTTAACAGGTTAAACCTGGTCTGTCTCCTGAGCAGGAAATGTGGACATGGAGAAAGTTCAAATGTTGCAATATGTATCACCCAAAACAGAAACCTGAGGGTTGCAATGAATTCTGATAAAAATTCTGTTGCCATATGTGAAAGTATTCATTCTTTCTTAATTACTGTGCTTACCTAAGATTGACGTTAATGAAACTATAGTGGAGAAAACAGCCCATTGTACCCACTGACCAAAATTTATTTTAGTTACACATTAAGAACTGTACTATATGGTTATTAAATATGACAGGTATATGAAGTAGGTCAATACATATTTAAAATATGTAAAATAGAAATATGACTAGAAATCATCAAAAATAAGATCAGTGTTTAGGAAGATGTTTAATGAAACAGATGGGAGCTGTAGGTTAATTTTCAATCAAGTTGTTCAAATATATATCAGAAAGTTTTAGAGACACGGAGTTATAGTTCTAATGAGAAGGAACTAAGAGTCTGACTCAGGATTCCTGTTTTAGAGTCACGAAAACTGATTGATTTCTCTTAACACCCATTTGCTAATTAAAAGAGTGCTGCAATTCACACTTTTCTTTCAACTTCAAATTTTACTACAGATTTAAGGTGAATTGTGTGTCTTTTATGATTCTGATATGATGTACTAACAACTTTTACAGTAAACAGCAGTTCCCTCCTAACCATTTCTTTGGTTGTTATAGGAAAACAAAGAAAGCAAAACCAAATTCCCTTTTTGAAGGCAAAACAGAACCTTCAAGAAACTTTGTGTCACTCCTCCAGCACACTTCTTGGTTTGTCTCTCTTAATCTCTCCAAAATACAATGTCTAAACCTCTCAGCTTCCTGGAGACAAGAGACAAGGAAGGAAACAGAGCTCAGGGAACTGCAGGAGAGGGAAATACCCTCCTTTCCCCCTTTCTTCTCTGTTCATCCCTAGTGCTCTAATGCCCAGGCAAGATGGGCTGATGAGGTATGGTGAAAATGGCGTGGCTGGCGCCTGAAACAAGAGACCCTTTTAAAGAAGTATTTAAACTCCCCCTTAGAGGGAGCACAAGTCCTGGGAGGTGACAGTCAATAGACTGACAATAAGAGAAGACACAAAGACACTACAGAGAATTGATAAAATGATGCCAAATATACAAAGCTTTTAATAAACACACTCTCAATCCCAAACATGAGCAGAAGTCCCAAAACAAACCCCTGAATCACTGCCGTACTTTAAAACAATTTTGGAAAAAATCATGGCTTCCTAATACTTCTCCCCTAAAAAAATGCTTTCAGGTTTTGATTTTTCTGACAATCTTTGTTGTATCTACACATACTTTTTACACAGCTGCGATCACAGTGCTAATACAATGACTAATTTTCATAATGATGGGAATCATCTATAAATAAAAGATTAAGCAATATACTATAGACTATAGAAAGCATGGTATTCGTACTCTGAGAATATTTTAAATTGTTGGTATTCAAATGGGTAAACCCTCAGCTATCTGGAATGATTCATTCTTTGTAAGTTCTAGATTGCCAAGGTTTCACTGCATTAAATCTTTCTTAGAATATTTGAAAACACTTCCGGTATAGTTCTCTTCATATTCTTATGTATATTTCTTTGAAATATTTTAATATTCTCAGAATCTTCCTCCTACTTAGCACTGAGTCAAAAAATGAAAGAGCAGTGGTATAAGAGTTCCTTAACTGTAAAATTTTTCCTTAAGCCAGAGCTACCTTTGGATACTCTGAAACAGAGTATAAGAAACAAGTCTCAACTCAAGATCCAAAATATTGTTTCTAAAGCAATATTTAAATGTGAGAGCAAATACAATGTGGCATACAATCCACTCATGCATAGTGTGTTTGAAAGGCAAAAGACCAACCCTGTTAAAAAGTATCGATGGGAGTCTGAGTTGTACAATATAAGGTGGAGAACATCAGCACTATTCAAATACCTTGTAAAACAAACCTAACAAATCATGTTATCAGAGACCTGAATAGGCAGCACTGATTCTCTGGTTTAAATTGGGGCCACTTTTAATATGTAACATAAAAGTGTCACTAAACTCAGACAACTATGGAAATGCATCTAGGACTGTCATATTCCCCAAGACAACAGTTTAAGATCTTAAATATATATTTTGTCACTGCCTACATTTATCCAAATACTTCACTGTGTATATTTATCTTTGTTGTTTTCAAACTTCCCCCATTAACACAACTGCCACCAGAGGAATACTTAGAATGGAAGAGCAGTTCCCTTGGAACTCTTAACTAAATTTTCCCTCTTATCCATCACTATATCCCCAGTGCCTAGCATGGTGCCCAACACCTAGTAGTAATCAGTCAATGTTTTCAGAGCTTGGATAATCTTGTTGCTGGCAGAAGACACCACCAGAAGACATGACCAAAATTAATGTGTAGAGAATAGTTTCTGATGGCTGCCACTATTAAGTAGAAGAGCTCTACCTATAAAGACTGTTTTGGTTATTAAAATAATAAAAAGTCAAAATGTTTCCAGATAAGCCAAGAAGTACATACACCATCACCTGAACTCATACTACCATAAAGAACAACAGAGCATGATAGACATTTTGGTGGTAACAGAACAGAACGAAGCAGTGAAGAATTGGCAAGATGTTTCTTGTTTTCCTAAGAGTAGAAAGGAAACACTTGATATTGTTAAAGTAAATCATGTTTTTGGTAAATATGTTTTTGTGTTTCAAAATGGGAATCTAGAGAATTTAATACTTGGGAATTAGAAATATATCACTACAAAGCAAATGACTCAGGAGAAGAATGTTATACCACACCTCACCCACTCAGATTTTTTTAAAAAGGTAGCGTGATGCTTTAAAAGTAGGCAAACATTTGAGACAGTAATCAAGTGAACTAGTTCTATATGAAATTCTCTCATACAGAGCACTTTTGGGGGGTAACTCTGATTTTGATATAATTTCAAACTCTGGAAAAGTTGCAAGAGTAGTACAAGGAATTCCCCTTCACCTAGATTCATCAACTGCTTACATTTTGCCCCATTTGCCTTATCATTCTGTATGTATACAGTTATTTTCTGAATCATCTGAGAGTAAATTAGAAATATTGAGCCCTTTCCCCCTAAATGTTAGTGTGTACTTGCTAATAAGGATATTCTTTTACATAACCATAATACAGTCATCAAAATAAAAAAATTAACTGATATAATATTACTGTGTAAGCATTTCAAATTTTATCAACTATCCCAATTATTTCTCTCACCTATCTAGGATCCAGTCCAGGAATCACACATGCATTTAATAGTGGATAGTTTCTGCTTTTCTTAACCTTGACAATTTTGAAAAGCATATGTCATTATTTTGTAAAATGTTCACGTAGCAATTTTTAAACCTAATTGTTTTAATTCATCTTGTAAATATAAGGATAGTCTTCATAAATACTTTGGGTTTATAAATTAAGGAAAGGACAGAAAAATAAAATCAGAGACACTATTTTCATTAGGTAGAGGAGGAATTCAACTTACTTTAAGAGTTAGATATTAAGTCCAAGAAAATCATATATCAACACAAAGAATATAATAAAATTTCATTTCTGGGGCAACTTGGTGGCTCAATCATTAAGTATCTGCCTTTGGCTCAGGTTATGATCCCAGGGTCCTGGGATCGTGCCCCACACTGGGCTCCCTGCTCCGCGGGAAGCCTGCTTCTCCCTCTCCCACTCCCCCTGCTTGTGTTCCCTTTCTCGCTGTCTCTCTGTCAAATAAATAAATAAAATCTTAAAAAAAAAATTCATTTCTTATATTTATCTTACTTATAAATCTAAGGATTCTAAAAGAAGATAAAAATGTAAATATATCACATAATTTTGTATTATCACCAACAGCCTAATAAAAACAAACCCAATTCTTAACTAGCATCTACTTTAAAGTGAACATTTTTAGAGCTGTGTGACATTTTAAGAAAAATATATTCAGACAGATGTTGGCTGTATGATTAGAACGGTAAAGAATTACATATGGAAGTAAAAAGAAAATTTGTATTAGCCACACAAGTCATTAATGAAAATCATGAACTTAAAACAATGGTAACTTCTTATGTATATATAAAAAAATGATGCCTATATACAAGTGTGTGTATATACAAAATATACACTATGACTATAATGATATACATAATATAAATGAGACCTAAGAGCACCTGGGTGGCTCAGTCGGTTAGCATCCAACTCTTGATTTTGGCTCAGGTCATGATCTCAGAGTCATGAGACTGAGCCTCGGGTGTCAAGCTCCATGCTGGGGTTGTGGAGCCTCCTTGGGATTCTCTCTCTCCTTCTCTCCCCCTACCCCCCGTCAAAATAAATGAAATTTAAAAAATAATAAAAAGATTAAAATATATATATAAATGAGCCAGAAAGGAACAAGGGCCAACTCTGCACTGTTGGTTAATAAGGTGCTACTGGAAGATGAATCGGGAGGCAGGCAAGCTGAATTCCCCTTCTGGTAATGAAGGACTCTTGAGTAGGCCTCAGATCTCTTTCAGGATGTCTCCTTATATATAAAATGAAGGAGTCTGTGTACATCCATGGTTTGCAAATCTGGTTGACGATCAGAATCATTTGGGAAATTTTAAAAAATATATAAACTGGGCCCCTCTCCAGACCTTCTGAATCAAACTCTGGGATAAATGTTCCCTTAAATAAATCTTACGATAATAAGGGTGTAGAATTGCCCTTAAATAAAATCTTATGCAGAAACCCAGTATATAATACAGGGGAGGGTGGGGCAGCTTTGGTTGATGTAGGATTGCGCATCTCCCAAATCCTGCTGCTTGCTGACTTACAACCCATGGTTAATTCCTGATATGACTCCATGGGTCAGTTTGTAAACCATGTTCT